ATTAATAGACCGTTTACGAGGGATGTCTTTTAAGTTGAAGATGGTAAAAGACAACTTACCGCTAGAGATTAAAATCCCATAGAAAAACGGGTGGCAGTACCCAAACCAACACAACTGAACGTAAGGTACAAAGTAAAGGGGTACTACTCCATAAACTGGTGCTTGGGGCGTTAATATCAAAAAATCTGGACGTTAACGAAAAAAAACGCCCCTACACAACCAAAATCACAGCGGAAAGAAAATGGCGCTGAAAGAAGTGAAGAAGAAGAATAAGTGGCCCTGACGAAGGCACGTTCGACAGAACGTAAAATGGAACAGATAAAAGCAGGTAAAGACGGTATCTTGATAGGAGGGTAAACATTCATATATGGCTAGTAGGTATAAACATCATAAGGTGGCGCGCTGTTTGCTGATGGGCAGATTGCAGGTAGAAACAAATCTGTCTACGAGGAACCAACAATATTTTGTGAGGAAATTTCTCAGATAGAAGAACGATTTCAATACAATACTGAGTCGCTGAGAATGACAGATATATACTAAGTGACATATAAATCCGAACACCCAGTTTAAATGGTTTTATTTTAATAAAAGTTGGTGAATGTATTTATCTTACTGTAAATAACAAGTGAAAAAATTTTCAGCGTTATCAGTTGGACATTCCGGTTTTTATACTGCTTTTTTTTTCACTAACGCTCTAAAAATGAATATTTCAGCCGCAGTAAAGAATCAACGTTGGCAGATTTTGGTTCTTGACATCCTTTACGATCGGTTACGATGCCTAGAGTACGGAGACCTGTACGATTTCGTCAACTTAGTGAGTTTGATAGGGGCCGTATAGTGGGACTTCGGGAAGCTGGACTTTCTTTTCGGGCAATTGCAGTTAGAGTGCAAAGAAGTGTAGACACTGTGGTTAGGTGTTGTCAGGCATGGCTTCGAGAAGGCCGTACGCAAAGAGCAAGGGGCACTGGACGCCGCCGTAGAACAACAGACCGTGAAGATCGCCGCCTAAGATTATTGGCCTCAAGGGACCGTTTCTCCACTACCAGGTCCATTGCAAATGAAAGGTTTGCAGAACACGGAAGACCTATTGGCATGCGAAGTGTTTACCGATGAATGAGAAGTTTTGGCTTGTTTTCATGCCGGCCACACTGGGTCCTCCCTTTAACTCGAGAACACCGACGTAATCGCCTTGAGTGGTGCAGACAACGGTCACTCTGGGATCAGGAATGGAACAGTATTGTCTTTAGTGACGAGTCTCGATTTTGTTTAGGCATGCACGATGGTCGTGCCAGGGTTAGAAGGCGACGTGGTGAAAGGAGGAATCCACAGTTTTTTGTTGAAAGACATGTTCATCACACTGTTGGAGTTATGGTTTGGGGTGCTATAGCTTATTGTTCCAGGTCACCTTTAATCTTCATCAGAGGTAACATGAACGCGCAGCGTTATATCCACGAAGTTCTAGAACCCCATCTTTTACCCTATCTTGTCACCCTGGCAGATCCAACTTTCCAACAAGATAATGCCCGACCACATGTTGAAAGAGTCACAATAGACTTCTTTCAACATAATGATGTCACATTGTTACCATGGCCACCAAGATCTCCCGACTTATCCCCAATTGAGCACGTGTGGGATATGATGGGTAGGAGATTGCTCAATTTGCAACGTCCTCCTCAGACTCCAGAAGCACTTCGAGAGGAGTATCACAGGAGTCCACCTGATCAGAAGCATGCCTAGGTGCGTTGGAGAATGCGTAGCACACCAGGGTGCATCCACACATTATTAAAGGTCAAAGGGCTTTAAAGCAGTGCAATCACTTTGAAATTTTTATCATTTACTTATTATGCTTCATTAAGTACTTATACAAAATTTTATTAAAATAAAACCATTTAAACTGGGTGTTCGGATTTATATGTCACTTAGTATAATACGCGTGAAATTCTACAATCAGTAAACTATGAAATTTGACAAAAGAAAATCATTAAAAAAGGTTTGACCAAGAAGTCGGTACTCTACTATCTATTAACAAAGAGAAATTCAAATTACTCATAAGTAATCAAAACAGTAAAAACTAAGGTTACGTGATTTTGGCACGTGAAAATCTGACAAGGGAAAGTAAGGCGATAAAATTAAAGTAGGATTCTAGAAAATGTCATAAGGTCTAATATAAATGTTTGTCTATCAGTGATAATGAAAAAACACCTATCACATTGTATCCTCCAGCGCCATACACCTCACAATTGAAACATTCTCTACCAGTAATAGGATATTTCTCAACCTGAGTTTGTGATGTATCTATTATTTATTAGACACCTAGGCATTGCGGGATCTGCTTTTATATATCATTGAAATAGGTTAACAAAGTTGGTGGAGCAGTATTTAGGGCTTACTATATACACCTTCTTCCTCATATTATGCTGACTGACATAGTAGCTATTGCCCGCGCCAGTCGGCCTTAACGTGTTAAAATACCGAAAATTTTTGAATATGAGATACTCTGCTTTTTCGATGTTTCAAGACATCGCGAAAAACCTACAGATCTCTGACTGTTCGCTAATCCTTGGACCCTACAAAACTCAATAAGCACCGCTGGAATGCTGAACAAATTTCAAGTTACTACTATCCCTAGGACGTACAAGCTTGTAAGTTTTGAAAACCGATCCAGTGGAAGCGGAGTTATGGACGAAAAACCATTTTCTGAAATTCTCGAAGGTATTGAAAATTGTGGGTTTGAAGCTGTAAATGTTGCACCTTTGGTATCAGTGGGAGACATTTCATCTTAGAAGTTTCTGATCCTCGTAATACTACACACTTGTTAGATATAGTCTCATATACAGGGTGTTCGGAAAGTTGGGGTTTTCCTTTTCAGAAACAACTACCCTTGAAATAACAAAGGTAATGTGTAGTGAAACGAGTGCGACCAAGTAAAAAAAATAAAGGAAAAAGTACTCACTCTCCAGTTGACGAGAAGGGCTAAGTACGTCTCTGCCCGAAATCATACCGCTCCAACAGAAAATGAAATCAGCTGATGCGCTACCGAGCAGACGCCGGCGGTGGTGAAGACCAGTAGACCACGAACAGAGGTAACAAATATGACCATCGTGCAGAAACCACATTGATTGTCTTACACTTAATGGCACATCTTCTAACAAGGAAGGCAAAATGTTGCGAAAAAAGTCTAGGTATTGCATCCCGTCCAATCGATTTGGGAGAATAAATCGTCCAATGAGCACACCGTTCACCATGCCAGCCCAAACATTCACCGAAAATGTTTGTTGAAAATGTGCCCGACGGACAGCGTGCGGATTTTCTACTGACCAAACATGAGTGTTGCGAAAGTTATTCACCCCATTACGCGTGAACGTAGATTCGTCTGTCTCCAATATCAACTTCAAAAAGTCCGGATTATTATCATGTTGATGCAACAACCACTCACAAAACCGCACTCTTGCTGGATAATCGTCAGGTTGAAGGGCATGTACACGTTGGACGTGAAACGGATACAGCAGTGTTTGCCACACTTTAGTTTTTGATACTTGCACTTCTCTAGCCACGTCTCTAGTGCTTGTTGTTTTTTGAAACGCAATCGATTATACGGGTTCGTTTACCTCTACACGCGTGACCGTAACCGTCGGTTGAAGGTTGCTTACTGACCTGACACACTGACCCCGACCCAGTCCTGTCGTCGGGTTGAGCTAGTGTCCTAGTACCAGTCGGGGATGTCGCGAGTCGCGGCTACAGGACGGTATTCAGATATTTTTGATGTTGCAGACCTCTTTATCTCGGTTCCCTTAAGACATTGGTGTATATGGTACTAAGAAAAATTGCTTATGTGTTCAAGATCTACACGTCGTGTAAAGGAAAACCCCAACTTTGCGGACACCCTGTATACAGGGTGTCCCGAAAAAAAAACTGTGCAATATTCTTATTTTCTATACATTTGCACTAGAAGATAACATGGAGATTTATTTTTGCATTCACTTGTGTGGTCAAGATGGAAGCAAACATTTGTACGTAGTCAAGCTTTGAATCCATTTGAGTGTTTTGAATAGACGCCCATTCTTTTTTTATGCCAGTACGTAGTTAACTTCCGTTCTAAGTGTGCGATATTCGGTCCCGCTTTCGTCTTGGCAGCTGCTACTACAGACCATATTTATAATAGTCTAATCATGTTAGACGAAAATACTCCTGGTTTGCGAAACAATGGTTTTATTGGTATAAGTTGCTCAAGGGGGCATTCAAAACATGGACGTATAAAACGGGTACACCAATTTTTGTGGGCAAACTTTTTATTCGACAACGTAGAATGAGAAAATGTATTTTTTGGGATTGAGCCGAAAGTGTTGACAGGAACAAAAAAAACTTTGCAAATAGGATTCTTAGGTATTAATGAGACCTATAAAATGAGACCACGCGTAAAAAGATCCGATTACTAGCAAAAATGTGATGGCAGAAAAACGAGGCAAAATGCAGGTTTTGGGGACTTGTTGATTACGATTATTTCGGGGACATTTGCTAATATGATTAAACTATAACCAAGAATTAACAAATAACACAAATGCAATTCAGTCTGTTTGATGATTTTGAGGTTTTCAAAAGAGTTGTGATGAAACTGCTTTTACTAAAAAACCAATTAAACTCATCCGTAGTGACAAGTCTTCTACCTTTGATCTGCCTATCCTTCTTAAAACTGCGAAACGGAGTTTCCATGCTTAACAATAGTAGAACTATTGCTGCTGGTTTCCTTTATGTGTCGGTTTTTAGACCATGGGAAAGAAAGAAAGTATTCAACGACCACAACAACTAGCTATATTTAATAGTGCAATTGACAGAAATCTTTGTTATTGATTCAAATGTAGACTCAGGTATAGGTTCTGAGTGATGAATCATCTCGTTACTGCAGATATAAGATTACTTTCTGCATTTTATTTTACATAGTTAATTATTCTGAAAACTATAAATGTGACAGTAACATTAGATTAATTCTGTACGTTTTTTCCAGCATATGTGTGACAGTTGTGGTGCTAAATGTGCACTTCAGATCACCTCAGACGCACAAAATGTCACCCTGGGTGAAAAGAGTCTTCATTCACATACTTCCAAGGCTTTTAGTGATGAAACGGCCTACGTACGTCTTCGAAACAAATAGGTAAGAACGAAAGTCAGTAAGTGACCAATACCTTTTTTTCATATTGAAGCACCCGGAATGGTCACACGTGAGACCTTAACACATAAATGCGAATATTATCGGAAAGTCAGAGGAAGAACTCACTTTGAAGGTGAAAGCTCACCCATATATACTAAGTGACATATAAATTCGAACACCCAGTTTAAATGGTTTTATTTTAATAAAATTTTGTATAAGTACTGAATGAAGCATAGCATAAGTAAATGATAAAAATGATAAAAATTTCAAAATGATTGCACTGCTTTAAAGCCCTTTGACCTTTAATAATGTGTGGATGCACCCTGATGTGCTACGCATTCTCCAACGCGCCTAGGCATGCTTCTGATCAGGTGGTCAATGTCCTCCTGTGGTATCTCATTCCAGGCAACCACCAACTCCTCTCGAAGTGCTTCTAGAGTCTGAGGAGGACGTTGCAAATTGAGCAATCTCCTACCCATCATATCCCACACGTGCTCAATTGGGGATAAGTCGGGAGATCTTGGTGGCCATGGTAACAATGTGACATCATTATGTTGAAAGAAGTTTATTGTGACTCTTGCAACATGTGGTCGGGCATTATCTTGTTGGAAAGTTGGATCTGCCAGGGTGTCAAGATAGGGTAAAAGATGGGGTTCTAGAACTTCGTGGATATAACATTGCGCGTTCATGTTACCTGTGATGAAGATTAACGGTGACCTGGAACCATAAGCTATAGCACCCTAAACCATAACTCCAACAGTGCCATGAACATGTCTTTCAACAAAAAACTGTGGATTCCTTCTTTCACCACGTCGCCTTCTAACCCTGGCACGACCGTCGTGCATGCCTAAACAAAATCGAGACTCGTCACTAAAGACAATACTGTTCCATTCCTGATACCAGAGTGACCGTTGTCTGCACCACTCAAGGCGATTACGTCGGTGTTCTCGAGTTAAAGGGAGGACCTAATGTGGCCGGTATGAAAACAAGCCAAAACTTCTCATTCGTCGGTAAACACTTCGCATGCCAATAGATCTTCCGTGTTCTGCAAACCATTCATTTGCAATGGACCTGGTAGTGGAGAAACGATCCCTTAAGGCCAATAATCTTAGGCGGCGATCTTCACGGTCTGTTGTTCTACGCCGGCGTCCAGTGCCCCTTGGTCTTTGCGAACGGCCTTCTCGAAGCCATGCCTGACAACACCTAACCACAGTGTCAGAACCAAAATCTGCCAACGTTGGTTCTTTACTGCGGCTGAAATATTCATTTTTAGAGCGTTAGTGAATTAAAAAAAAGCAGTATAAAAACCGGAATGTCCAACTGATTAGGCTGAAAATTTTATCACTTGTTATTTACAGTAATATAAATACATTCACCAACTTTTATTAAAATAAAATCATTTAAACTGGGTGTTCGGATTTATATGTCACTTAGTATAATTTGAACATGTGCATTTCAGGCATTAAATGGCTTGTAGCTCGGAAAGTACGGTCCTCGCCTGTTACGCACTCATTCTATTCAGCGCCTGGTCTATGTCTAGATTTATTTACTGGAAGACAATTCGGTGTGAAAAATTCAACAAGATACGTTTTTCTAGAGCAGCACAGGCATTCGCTTTATCAATTTTCCAGAGAGGGAACAACTAAAGGAAAAAGTGATAATGATAATTGAATCTCACGATTGTACAACAAATTTAGGTGCTTTTATAAAGAAAAGCAATACTCGAATTGCATCAGGCAGCTCATTACATTCCATCTGACATCGCTGCTGCTGACTCTTCAGAAATTTCATTATTTTTTCATTACGCGCAGTTACAAAGATTCCAGAAAATTGAGTTAGACGGGAGGACTGGAGTCAGATCTAATAAACCGGTTCCATTTCTCTCGTCCGTCTTACTCAAGCTCGGCATCTTAAGGTAATAGATTACAATACTTGACAGGATGATCTAATAGATCTACTATGTTTTTATACTTGTCAGTGAATACAACTTCCTTTCGTGCTGATTATATTCAAGTAATGGAATTTCGATTTGTCAGAAATTGAGTATAACTTTAAAGAACGTCCTTTGCTTCGTTGGCTGTTGGTCGTTGATCTAGTCAAGCGCTGTTTTAACTAATTTATTGCTTTTACACTAATTTATAGCACTTAATTTATAACAAATTTATGACTATGTCGACTGGACTATAATTCCATCTTGATGCCGCGCCGTTGACTGTCTCGACTGTGACTGACTCTTCCGCCATCTGGTCGGGTATTTATTTTCCTATCGACGAGTCGAGAAACATTCCACCGTTCTCCAGCCGAGTCACGAACTTCCATGGAAGTGATCTAGATGGCATCACATTCATCTCCAGCCGTGTCAAATATTCGCAATGGCGGCCATCAGGGTGTCATCTTTTAGTTGATGTAGGAGGGTGTCTTGTGATGGTACCCAGAGCTTCAGTTATACGAGGGCGTTACAATATTTATCGTGCATATCCGAATGCCGCAAGCGCACAAAACGCGACCCTCGCGGATTGTCACAAGGCATCGAGCCAAACCTCACGACATCTCACCAAAGAAAAAGGGACAGGGATAAAACAATCGTCAAAAACACCTCACGTATGCCACGACAAACTGGAGGCCTATAAAAAGAACAACTCATAGTTGTAAAAGTATGCAGCGTGTTCTGTTTGAGTTTTTCAAGGAAAAGTACACCATACATAGATGATATACAGAATTAAAAAAATAATACGAGCAACTTTAGCTGCAAAATTGACTGGTCCACAAGCTGCCAAAGTCAGGTGTTTCTTCAAACAGGAGATTTCGCAGCTCCAGATATAGCTATAAAAGCCCCAAACTTCTTTGTAGATTGTATTACTCAGTACAACCATGTTTTCTACCTTTTCAGTAAATTTATGTCAAATCGCTACATCGGCAGAAGACGAGAACCCTCCTGTTTATATCCCTACCACACAACGATGCATAGGGATGACAGCAGTCCAAAGAGGAGGTTTTCAAGTAGGACGCCGAGTAAAGAGGAACTGTCACCAAGGTAAGTTTTTTTATACCTTTTCATCGCAGCTGTCCGGTCAAAACAATAACATTCCAATCTCGTTTCATATTCCACAACAACTTTTTGTCACTTAACAGGCCAGTAATATTCTTGAAAATCCTTGATCGGAGCTGCATGGTTGAGATTTTTTGAAAAATGGCGTCAGGTAGGTTGACTCTGCACTTCCTACCCAACGCTCTAATTAGTTCATAAAGGATTAAGTTCCGCGCACTTTAAATCCTGTGAGAAAAAAGTCAGTAACGAACATTTACTTCTTGTGTCTAAATGCGGTTATTATCGATTTTCTGAAAAACCTCTTTCGTTCATTCAAACTTACCTTGAAAATCGGTATCAAAAAGTTCGTCTAAATCAACAGTACTCCACCGAACAAAAAATTTGTTCTGGTGTACCACAGGGATCAGTCTTAGGACCACTATTATTTTCATTATATATCTCAGATTTAGAAACACAGGCTAAATCAGGCAGCATACAATTTTCTGCAGACGATACTCAAATTTTCTATTCATTTAGGAGTAATGACTTGGAAACAGCAAATAATAAAATTAATCAAGATCTTGCCCAAATTGAAAAGCTCATTAGTCGTCATAATCTTCGTTTGAACCATTTGAAGACAAATATGTTGGTATACGTAAATAAAACAAAAAAGAATAGGACAAAGACATACATTTAAAAGTTAATAAACTAGTTCCTGTGGATCACTCGAAGGACCTAGGTATTATAACGGATGATGATTCAAAATTTATTGTACACGTAAACTATCTAATTTCTCAGTGCTACGCTATTCTAGGAGTTATATTTGCAAATAAGGGTATATTACATAAATCTGCAAGAAAGCAATTGTGTGAATCTTTCTTGTCTTCGAAGATATCGTATTTGTATGTTCTGGGACGCCCTTGAGCGCCGACCTTTGGTGCCAAACGACCTTGAGAGCTGACCTTCGGTGCCAACCTTGCAATGTGACCTTGAAGTGTGACCTAGAAACGTGACCTTGAGTATCCGAGTGACCTTGAAGAGTGACCATGGGTTTTCGAGTGACCTTGAATTGTGACCTTGAGTTTCCTAGTGTCCTTGAAGTGTGACCTTGAACATATATAATAATAATAATAATAATAATAATAATAATAATAATAATAATAATAATAATAATAATAATTTTTATTGGAATGTTTATACACTCAAGATCACACTTCAAGGACACTCGGAAACTCAAGGTTACGTTTCAAGGTCACACTTCAAGGTCACGTGTCAAGGTCGGCACCGAAGGTCAGCTCTCAAGGTCGTTTGGCACCGAAGGTCGGCGCTCAAGGGCGTCCCAGAACAAACAAACCCTATCTACTCGTATTGCTTAGTGGTTTACTATCCCTATTTAGATATTATAACAAGAAATTGTATTCAAAGTATTATGAATACATGTTGCAGACTTGTAAATGGTCTCAGAAAGTATGATCATATGCCGAATGCCATTAATGAACTCAAATTGATGAAAATTGATAAAATGTATAAGTACCAGCTCCTAAATCTGACTCATAAGGTATTTTATTGAAAAACACCTTCATATTTAGTAAACAAATTCATACGTAGAGGGAATATGCATGGTATTAACATTAGATATAGAGTGACTTTTTCAGTTCCACGCCACAGCACATCTCTATTTCATAATAGACATATTTACAATGCGATCAAATCATATAGTTCTTTAGACCGCAGTTTAAAAGAAACCAATCCATTACCCAAATTCAAGAAAAAAGTGGCCTGATATTTTCCTTATGCCTTTACGTAGATTATACTTTATTCTGTGGCTATTGTATACAGGTATTAATTTTCAACAAATTCTGTTTTTTTACATCTCGTATTGTTAAGGGGTTAGATGGTACAATAGATATATTATCTAAGTCTCGCCTCCTGTAAGAATACTACTAATAAAAGACGTTAATTATTATTATGTACAACAAAGAAATTAAACGGATTCAACCAGTCAAACGGGTCCATGCAATTAGTTCCTAGACGTTATTTCGCTGCCTCACCTCATAGTACATCTGATAACCTTTTCCCTTTCCACATTTGCGAGTCATGGTTCATATTAGGTAGTAAATGCATGCTGATCGAAAACGTTTCTCTACGATTTGTGAAATTTTCACACAACACTCAACCCCCGGTTTTCTGTAAATACAAATTTTTTTCTGAAAATGGTCATGGCCCTCTGAAGCGTCCGAAAACAAGGTTTGAGCGATTTTCTGTTTTTTTTTTTCATTTTTGGATTCCTCTTCTCCGCTGCATGACCGCTTTTCAAGAACTACAAAGCTTCTTTCTTAAGTTATAGAACGGCCAAGGAATAGCGGACATACAAACAGAGCGATGGAAACGTACATGGTTTTTGGTGTTATATGACATCCAAGAGCACAATATTTCATTTTAATTTTTTTCACGATTACAATACATCCTCGTGCAGCGGCGCAGGAAATAAACAGCATGCCGGTATGTTCTTCCTCTCTGTCTACTGGCCTATAATGCATTATCAGATGAAAGTAAATGTAGCGGCAGGAGCTGGCAGTCGCTGTACGAAATTTGCCTGTTTTCCGTTTCCTGTATGTATGTGCATCCCATCTTCCAATGCCGCTTGACATAATGCTTTATTATCATTCATATGTCGGTAAAGGAACGTTGAAATACACTATATATTTTGTGCTCACCAGTGGAAAACGCGAAATGCGATACTGAGAGCATGCAAGGCAATGGAACAACTGAGCGAATTGCTTTGCCATCCAAGTGCATGGTTGTGTTAGGATCTTTGCTAAGCATTGTACTCGTACATTCAGCATTTTTAACGTCTATGGGTCATTGCCCGTCAGAGCGGTCCGTGGAGCCTTGGCTCTTTGTTAAAGTATCGTAGGTTAGTAGGTCTATCAGGTCTGGTTGCCCAGGTACCAGATGAAGTCAGGGAGAAAGGAAGGAAGAAGAAAGAAAGTAAGGAAGGGGGAAGAGCAATGAGGGTAAAGTCAGCATTTTTAACATTGTTGGGGCTTTGATCAGATCTTGGCGCATATCTACGATTCTAGCGTTAAAACTTACAAAGAATTGAATCACCCTATATCGCAATCATCACATACATACAATAAATTACCAGAATCGTTAAACAGTGTTAATCGTAGCTTGAAGTGTTTTGTAAATAATGTAAAACACCACATTATAAATCCGTGGCGCATGTTTCTAATTTTTGTGCCATATTGACATCAACATTAATTAAGGTAACTTGACCAAATATGGGCACCCTTAAGCAAATTATAGCGTCAAACGTTTAATATGCAGGGTGTCCCAGAAGTCGACGTCAAGCCGAAACCGGGTGATAGGCAAAGTCATAACAGCTATCAGAAAAATATTTAAAAAAATTTTATGTATGTTTTTTGTAAATTATAGGTCTTCGAAAAAAATATAGAAATTTCACACCCTACGGCAGTCTGTCAACTCCTGTTACTACAAATATTAACTTTTTTTGGATTTTATTTTTACAATGTAATGATGAATACTGCATCTTCAAACTGGTGTCTCAACCTTGCTGCCCACTTTTCTCGTTCAGGAAAAATTGCCACTTATTTCCCAACCAAGTATTCCAAAGTAAAACTTTGCTCAACTTTAACTGGCTGTACTGGAAAAAAATGTACTACGAGAGCTTGTCAAGTAACCTTGAAAGTTGGCGCATTTAATAAGGATTCCAAAATGGTATAACACTTAGAAGATTACTCGTTAACTTATGCACAATTTTTATTTGAAGAAAAACTGATGAAAATTTTTCAAAATTTCCTAATTAAGCAGCGATTATGAAAACGTACAAGGACCCTTAAGGATAACTGTTTGCACAACAGTGGGCGTCAAAATGCTGCTGATGATGATTTACCTTTACAGCAAATGCTCAAACTGTTTTCCTTCAGCCGCAATACACGCTCGACATCTTCTTAAAAAAGATCGGGTTATTAAACGAGCGAATCTATGGTTATTAACAAACTCAGCTGCTTCCAATAGTCTTTAAGAAAGACGGGTACACGAACCTGCATAACTTACACGAGTGGCACGTAGCAAACCCACATTTGATGAGAGAAGATAAATCTCAATATCGCTTCAAGATAAACCATTGGACAGGAATTTTAAATGGTAAAATAATCGATCCGTTTGAGTTCCGAGAGACTCTGACTGCTGAAGTTTATTTGGATTTTTTGAAAAATCATGTACAAACTTTATTGGTGGACGTGCCACTGAGTATTTACAGGGACATGTGGTTTCAGCATGTTGGCTGCCCAGCGCACTATGCACTCTCAGTGAGAGAGTATCTCGATCAAAACTTTTCAGGCAGATGGATAAGGCGGTCTGGTACAATACCGTGGCCAGCCCGATCACCCGATTTGAATCCTTTAGATTTTTTTACTGGGGAACTGTAAAAGAAAAAGTGTATTTCAAGCCGATTTAAAATGTAGCTGAGCTACGGCGAAGACTATTGGAAGCAGCTGAGTTTGTTAATAACCGCGGATTCGCCGGTTTAATAACCCGATCTTTTTTAAGAAGATGTCGAGTGTGTATTGCGGCTGAAGGAAAACAGTTTTTGAGCATTTGCTGTAAAGGTAAATCATCATCAGCAGCATTTTGACGCCCACTGTTGTGCAAACAGTTATCCTTAAGGGTCCTTGTGCGTTTTCATATTCGCTGTTTAATTAGGAAATTTTGAAAAATTTTCATCAGTTTTTTTTCAAATAAAAATTGTCTATAAGTTAACGAGTAATCTTCTAAGTGTTATACCATTTTGGAATCGTTATTAAATGCGCCAACTTTTAAGGTTACTTGCCAAACTCTCGTAGTACATTTTTTTCCAGTACTGCCAGTTAAAATTGAGCAAAGTTTTACTTTGGAATACTTGGTTGGGAAGTAAGTGGCAATTTTTCCTGAACGAGAAAAGTTGGCAGTAAGGTTGAGACACCAGTTTGAAGATGCAT